TCAGGGTTATGAGGGCGCAACAGGTGCGTCGATTCGCGGTGTTGAAGTACCAGGAACGGCGTTATGGCACGAGTCAATATCGTCAAGACGCAACAGTCAGGTTGATCCGTGGCGTTGGAATCTCGAGAATCATGTTGCGGCATGCGTCAGTGTCTTCAAACGGTGATCTTCCAACGAGGTAGTTCCCTGCAGTGGAAATTAACCGTTCTAGGGGCCTATGAAGAGGGAGCTTGGAGGGAGGATGTATTCCAGCATCGTTGATGACTCTTGGGTTTACACTGGTGCTCCTCCTCATCCTCTTCATCCTCCCTTTCTTCTCCTCCTCCTCCTCATCCTCCTTCTCCTCCTCCTCATCATCATCAGCATCATGCGCCTGACGCAGGAGGTCCTTGATCCAGGATGGAAGCGGTCAGCGGAGCCCTGCAGGTACAGGGGCCCGATTGCAAAAGTGGCAACCTCATCCACTCTCCCCTCGTTCGTTGCCTCTCCCTCCGACTCCCCCCTCTCCCCTCGTTCATTGCCTCCCCCTCCCCCTCCCCAATCCTCCCTCCCTCCTCCTCCCGCCTCCTGCCTATCGTATCGCAGCGCACTGCTCTTCACTTCCAGTGATGCTGCCCCCCTCCCGTCTGTCGCCTCGCGCGGTGCGCGTGGCAATTCCAGCCTGGCCACTTGATGCGTTGCCATGAACCTCGTAGGCCATCGGTTCCTGGCTCAGCTCTTCCGGGCGGCATCACACGGCATGGCTCCGTGTGCAATCGCTTAGCCCACTCAGAGCTCCATTGGCGCACGGGAGGCGATCGGCAGCGGCACAGCAAGTCAGAGCCTGACAGCATGGTGGTGGACGAGTCGGCCGCTGGCACATGCACACAGGCCTGCCTGATAAGCTGTCAGCCGTTGTAAGAGTTGGGTCATTGGTTGTTGGTGCTGCGATCACGGCACGCTTCACGCAAAGCTTTTGTGGAACCAAAAACCGCCCTCGTGCTCCTGATGACCCCATCGTCCTCATCCATGCCGCAGGGAAGGGAGAATAACGTCTTGCGGGAGAGGAAATGGAGAGGGGAGGAGAAGTCGGGAAGCTCTCCTCCTCAACCTCCTCCTGCTCCTCTTCCTCCTCCCCATCATCACACACATCCTCCTCCAGCCCTGGGGGCAGGATAGCGTTCTGCGGGAAGGGGACGCAAAGGGAAGCAGGAGGGGTCGGGAAACCCTTTCTGGGGGGGAGGGGGACGAAATAGTCCACATCGTCCCTCCTATTCCTCCTGTTGCCATCGCTCGGACGTCCATTCCCAGTGCATGTTTCGGTTTCGTGCGACTATGTTTTAGCAAGACACTCCGAGATGCTTGCTCCTCGATGGCCCTCGACGAGGAAAAAATGCACACGCCCGAGCGATGCCAAGTCCTTATCCGAAGGCGAATCCTCTGAAAAGTTGCCCGCTGACCCCTCCCCGGGGTCCACCCTGGCCACATTTACGAGCGGCGCCCAGCCGTGGCGATAGAGGAACGCCGAAAAACATCCGAACGGACGACGACGACACGACGACGACGACGACGACGACGAAGACCTCCGCCAAACCGCTTCGATCGAAGATCCGCGGCCTGTACCGCTTCCGCCCAGGCACAGCCATGCCCTGCTCCACAAAGTCCTGCGCGGACGTACTCAGGGTGCTCTGCTGCTGGGGGCCCGGCCTGCGGTTTAGGGGGGGGCAGAGGCGGGGCAGGATTGCCATGTCTTGCAAGAGAACCTATATCAGGGGCTAGGAGAGGGAAGGAGGCGGAGGGGAAGAATGCGGAGGGGAAAGGGAGGAGGGGAACGGGCGGAGGCGGAACCTCGACCTTGCCTATGTCCAACCTTGCGGAGGGGAAGGATTGCAGAGGAGCTAAGTACGCTATATGCTTAAAGGGAAGCTGAAGCTATGGTTGCGGATGAGGCGACCATCAGAAAAACGAAGCGGAGGCGGCTACGATTAGTTCGCTGGCAAGAAGCATGGCGCAAGGTAGATTTCTCAATCTGTGATTCCCAACCATCCTGTGGTGTTGGGTCTGCGTTTTGGATCAGCAGCACCCCGCGTTCACTACTCCTCCTCCGCCTCCTCCTCCTCCTCCTCATTCTCCTCATCCTCCTCATCATCAGCATCATCATCACCACCACCACCGCCAACACCACCACCATCCTCCTCCTCCTCCTCCTCCTCCTCCTCCTCCTCATCATCATCATCATCATCATCATCATCATCATCATCATCAGCAGCAGCATCATCAGCATCAGCATCAGCATCAGCATCATGAACGGCATCATCATCAGCAGCATCATCATCATCGTCATCATCATGAGCAGCATCATCAGCATCATCATCAGCATCAACAGCAGCAACATCATCATCATCATCATCATCATCATCATCATCATCATCATCAGCATCATCGTCATCATCATCATCATCATCATCATCAGCATCAGCATCAGCATCATCATCATCATCCTCGTCATCATCATCAGCAGCAACATCGTCAGCAGCATCAGCAACAGCAACAGCAACAGCAACAGCAACAGCATCATCACTAGCATCATCCTCATCATCATCAGCAGCAGCATCATCAGCAGCATCATCTTCATCATCATCAGCATCAGCAGCATCATCATCATCATCATCATCATCATCATCCTCTTCATCATCATCATCATCAGCATCATCATCATCATCATCATCATCATCACTATCATCATCCATTATTACAATTAGCAACAGATTCATCATCATAAGCCGCATACTGAGTATCAGCATCATCATCCTCATCATCAGCATCAGCATCATCAGCATCATCAGCATCATCGTCATCAGCAATAGCACCATCCTCATCATCATCAGCATCGTCATCATCATCATTAGAAGCATCGTCATCATCATCATCATCATCAGCATCAGCATCAGCATCAGCATCACCATCATCAGCAACAGCATCAGCGGCATCAGCAACAGCAACAGCAACAGCAACAGCATCATCACTAGCATCATCATCATCATCATCATCATCAGCATCATCAGCAGCAGCATCATCAGCAGCATCATCTTCATCATCAGCAGCATCAGCCTCAGCATCATCATCATCAGAAGAAGCATCAGAAGCATCATCATCATCATCATCATCGTCATCGTCATCATCATCATCATCATCATCATCATCATCATCATCCTCATCATCATCTGTATCCTCCTTCTCCTCATTCATCATCCCCCTCCTCCCTTCTCCCGCTTCTGCCCGCCGCATGTCCTCACCGTCATCACCCGCCCTCACGCACTTCATGGCCCCATAGGGAGCTCCACCGAAGGCCGCAGCCGCAGGAATCACATGCACCCCCCGCCCATTTCGGTACACCCCTCACGCGTTTCGCGGCCCCATAGGGAGCTCCAACGAAGGCCGCAGTGGCAGGAATCACATGCATTCCCCGCACCCCTCACACGTGTCACGGCCCCATAGGGAACTCCACCGAAGGCCGCAGTGGCAGGAATCACATGCATCCCCGCCTATTCCACGGCACACTCCTCACACGCTTCGCGGAGCTCCGACGAAGGCCGCGGCGGCGGGAATTACATGCGCCCCCCCACCAATTTCGGCACACCCTTGACGAGGTGTGCGGCCCCATAGGGGCACCCACCGAAGGCCGCAGTGGCAGGAATCACATGCGCCCCACCCCCCGCCCATGTCGGCACGCCCCTCACACGTTTCACGGCCCCGCAAGGAGCTCCACCGGCGACCGCAGTCGCAAAGTCATATGCGCCCCCCCCCCGCCCAGTTCGGCACATTCCTCACGCGCGTCGCGGCCCTATAAAGGGGAACAACCGAAGGCCGCAGATGCAGGATTCACACGCCCCCCCAAGTTCCCTCACGCGTGTCGCGGCCTAAGGCCTCAGAGGCTGCGCTCGCATGCCGCCACCCCCCTCACCTTGGCACACCCACCATACGTTTCGAGGCATCCTAAGGATGTCGCCACTTCCCTCCCTGTGACACGCTCCTCGCACGCTTCGTGGTCCCATAAGGAGCTCCACCGAAAAAGACAAGTATTGCAGGCCCGTTCGGATTCGAACATGGAGGTGAGGACCCCAGGAGGGACGCCCGCTCGAGACGCCCTCACGATTCACTCAGAGACGACGCCTCCGCTCGAAGTTTTCCTCCAGATTCAGGCCTGGAGAGCCAAAAAGTGTTTGGGATGACCTGCTCGGGTTCGAATATGGAGGTGGGGACCCCGTATGGAGGGGTTCCCGCTCGAGGCGCCCTCGCGATTCATTCACCGACGACGACCCCGCTCGAAGACTTCCTCCAAATTCAACAGGCCTGTAGAGCCAAACCGTGACGACATGCACAAGTCTGGAATGACCCGCGCGGGTTCGAACATGGAGGTGGGGACGCCATAGGGAAGGGTTCCCGCTCGAGAACTCCTCGCGATTCACTCACAGACGACGCCCGCGCTCGAGACCTCCTCCAAGCAAGCCTGACAAGCCAAAAAGTGACGAATGACAAAGGTTCGGGATTACCCGCTCGGAATCAAAAATGGGGCCCCCCCTCCCCCTTCCTCCTCCCTCCGACCGATTCCCCCCCCATTTCCTTCGCCTCGTCCTCCTCCTTCTCCTCCTACTGCTCCTCCTCCTCCTCCTCCTCCTCCTCCTCCTCCTCCTCCTCCTCCTCCTCCTCCTCCTCCTCCTCCTCCTCCCTCCTCCTCCTCTTCCTCCTCCCCCTCCTCTTCCTCATCCTCCTCCCCCTCCTCCTCCTCCTCCGCCTCCTCCTCCTCCTCCTCCTCCTCCTCCTCCTCCTCCCCCTCCTCTTCCGCACCCCCCTGGAAGACGATTGCGTCCGCGGTGTCCACAACAGTGCTAGCATGCAAGCGAATAAAGACAGAGACAAGGATACCACGTTCGCTTCCACACGTGCGGGGCGGCACACAACACGGCACACAGCAGCAGAAGCCCCAGGGAGACGGCCGCGCCAGACAAGCCAGGTCCAGCAAAACCCGACGGCGGGGCAATGGCTTCCTCGTCATAGTAACCTTGCCTGCGCAAGCCTCGGGAGACCTCGGCATCATATTCTCGTGCGCGAGCGACCTGCTCAGGTGACACGTCGGCAGCACGGCAAGCAAGTTGGCAAGGCACGATTGCCTCCCGTGCCTCAGGTGCCTCAATATCCCAAGCCCCGAATTGAAATTCAAGCAGCATGCTTGACAACTTGACCCTGATGCAAGCCGACCTGCTGGATCGAGTTCTGGGCGAGACTTCGTTCTGAACGAAGCCCAAGAAGCGCGCGCGCACAGCACTGCACCGCACTCGCGGCTTGGATACACGCACACACGGACGGGGGGGGGCACGAGGAAGGGGGGACACTCCACGCCAGTGCTGACTGCAGCGCCTCGAAGCAAGCCCTGTCATTCAAGCCTCCGCGTCACGTCCACGCTCTGCGCGCGCGGCTCTCTCAGCTAGCCCGCGCGGGCGCTTCCAGAAACGCGCACTTCGGACACGGACCAAATGCACCCACCAGCTCGGGGGCCCGCAGGGCAACAGCTCACGGGGCAACTGCACATGGTCTCCAAGCCCAACGAGGCCATGACAAACGAGGCTCACCCACGACGCACCTACCTGCGTCGCCTCATCCAGGAGCTACAAGAGCGCCACGGGGGCAGCCTGCAAGGGCCGAGGCACCTGGGGCGCTCGAGCGGAGCCTGATCAACTGCAGCAGGAGCCCGCGTCCACCAACATTGCCACGAGGTAAACCTCCACACTTAAAGTCCGAGGCCTCGCGGAAAGGCAAGTTAAATATATACACCTGCACGCAAAGAATCGAGTAAAGAAGTCTTCTTGGCCAGAAACCTAGGCCACACAGACGCATGGCACAGCGAGCGGGGTGCATGCGGCTTGCGCATATACGCGAGCTCGCGCAGCACAGACATCTCAAAGCTAGCAAACACGACCCGCCTCAGAACACCCAGGGGCCGCTGCATCTGATGGCATCCGCGGGAAACCTCGGGGCCCGCGCAGAGCTTGGAGTCGACGCAAGAGCCCGGGTACCTGCACGTCGTCGCAAATGCCAATCTCACACCTAGCTGTGGGATCTCAAGACCTGGAGGGGGGCAACTTCCGCGAACTCTCGACGCGCCCCACGGGCCCCCTTCCCACGAACATCGCCATTAGCTCGGATTTACCCGGTTTGCAATTCACCTGGAAGCCTCGGGAAACCGTTTCCTGATGAACGATCGCGGCCATCTCCCGGGCCGCGCTTTTCCAGTCAGTGGCCCGCTCGAGCTGCACAAGGGCGACCAGGCCGTCAACGCGCGCGGGGCCCAAGACATCCTTCTCGACCCGCGCGGCCTCGGGGCCCACGAAGATCCTCTTGGAGGGGACCTCGGGGGCGGCGTTCTGGAGCCTAGCCAGGTCTGGAAGACGCCTGTTGATGTCCGCCTGCATCGGGACAAGATCGACGTCGAACCGAAAATCTGCCAGCTGCATCCCAGGCCCGGCGCCTCCGCCAGGCTGCACGACGTCATCGGCACCTCCAGCTTGAAACCATATTGACTTCATTGTGTCGACGACAGATGCCGGCAAATGTCGATCAGGAAGTTGATCGAGCAGGCCCAGCTGCTGGGCGGTCGCATCACACGGCGGCGCGAACGCCAGCGGAACTCCCAGATCTCAGACCATTTC